GGACTGCCATGGGAGGTCCCTTTTTTTTCCGCGTGTGCGCACGCCTCCTGCGCAATGTAGCTTCTGGCGCCACAGCGCCAGTGCCCTGCCCGTCACTCGACGCGGAGGGCGACCCGAGAGCGTAGGTTCGCCCACGCTCTGGTTCGATCTCCGCATGCCTGAGGAGCAACGTCGGTCAGCTGTGGCCTGGTCCTGTCGACCTAGTTGTTTCTCAGGTGCGGCGTACAGCCCAGCTGTGTACCAGCCTGCTAGACCACCAGCTTGGCCTTCGCCAGCTGCCGAGCGTGCTGAGTCGCTTCGACTGCTTGGATCGGTCACCCGGTTGCCTCGGCTGAGGCGGATGATTGCTCACGGCACTCGGGCGATCTGAGCGAGTGTGCCGAGGCGCACGAGACCGAGCGTTGCCTCCGCAGGGCCATAGGGAAATGCCTCGGTCCGAGGGGCAGTTCGAGCTAGGAACTCCAAACCCCTTCAGACGCGGGGATCATCATCATCACCATATCATCATCACCATCATCATCATCATCATCGTCATCATCATCATCATCATCATCATCATCATCATCATCATCATCATCATCATCATCATCATCATCATCATCATCATCATCATCGTCGACGGCATCATCATCATCATCATCATCAGCAGCAGCAACATCATCATCATCATCATCATCATCATCATCATCATCATCATCATCATCATCATCATCATCATCATCATCATCATCATCATCATCATATTCATCATCATCATCATCATCATCAGCATCATCACCATCATCATCAGCATCATCAGCATCACCATGATCACCAGGATCATCACCAACATGAGCAGCTTCAACATCATCACAAGCATCATCATCGTCATCTGCATCATCATAATCATCATCAGTCTCATCATCATCATCATCATCACCAGCAGCAGCATCATCACCATCATCATCATCCGCAGCAGCATCATCATCAGCATCAGCAGCATTATCCTCATCATCATCAGCAGCAGTATCCTCGTCGTTTCATCATCATCAGCACCATCATCATCCTCATCACCATCATCATCGACATCCGCATTATCATCATAGTATCACAAGCATCGTCAGCATCAACAGCAGAATCTTCATCATCATCAGCGTCATCACCGTCATCATCTGAATCAGCATCGTCATCAACAGCATCAGTATCAGCATCATCACCATCATCAGCAGCAGCATCATTATCGTCATCATCCTCAGCATCCTCATCAGCATCCCCATCATCATATCAGCAGCATCATCCTCGTGTTCAGCATCATCCTCCACATCATCATCATCATCAGCATCATCATCATCATAATCATCATCAGCAGCAGCAGCATCATCAACCTCATCAGCAGCATCATCAACAGCACCATCATCATCATCGTCATCACCATCATCCCCATCATCCTGGTAACTCTTCATCCTGCTCCTACTATTGGGATTGTGTTTCCTTCTCCTGCTGATGTCATACTCCTCCACCACCTCCCCCTCCTCCTCCATCTCCTCCTCCTCCTCCTCCTAAGCCGACCTCAAGAAGTACCTGGACACGTTCAAACCTGGCAATTGTGAGGCGCAGCACCTGGTCGGCCTGTTTCGGACGGAGAAGATGTTCGATAGTAACAAGAAGAAGAAGAAAAAGAAGAAGAAGAAGAAGAAGAAGAGGCTCATCATCGCCATGACGGATGAGAAGTGGGAGCGCATCCTCTTGTCGGTGATCGAGGCTGCGGAGAAGATGCAGGCCCGGTCGGGCCCCCGCCCGCCTGGGCACCTCGAGCTGGAGCCCTCCTCCTCATCATCCCCCTCCTGAGGGTAGAGAGGGACTGAGATCCAGCGCGAGAGAACCATAAGAAGCCTTGCGCTGCCCCGCCGCCCCCAGCCCGAGGTTGCACTGCCCCGTGGAAGGGGTCTGGAGACCCTCGAAATGACAACTGCTCTGTTTGGTTTAGCCGTGCCCGTTTGTTTGCCTGTGTTTTATCAGGCACGCCAGTGCGCACAGGGGGACGACGATCCGCGTCGCGTGCCAGTCCCCCCCCGCCCCACTGGCCTTTCGAGTGAATCGGCGCCGCTCGGCCCCATTGCGCGAACTTTTTTTAGCGACAGCAGGCTCTGCTTCGTGAAGGCGTCCTGTGCTTCACCGCCTGGCTGCAGCGGGCGCGAGTATGCGCTCAGGGTTTGTGCGAAAAGCGGGTCCCTCCTGCGCCCGTTCGTCCCTTCCCCCCTCCGCTCGCCCGTCCCGCTCTTCCCGGACCATCGGCCTCTCCTCCCCCCCATCGGGGGCCGTCCCCTGCTGGGTGCTGTTCGAAGTGCCTGCGCGCGGGCCGTCCACTTGTGGGCGCCTGCGCATGGGCCGTTCGCCTGGTGTTGGCTTGGTACGGCGCTGGCTCACACCTGGTTCCCTGCCGTCGTTGCTGCTCGCTGTTGGACCCTAAGCGTACGGGGCGCACACGGGTGGCGCCCGAGCTCGGGCACGGCCGCGCGTGTCGCACGTGCAAAAAAGTGCCGAGCTTACAGACGTGACGGGGGAACCCCACTACAGCCCGCAGTCCGAGCTCACGTTGGACTCTTCAGGAGCGCCGCCGCCGCCACCACATCCTCCGCCTCCTCCTCCTCCTCCTCCCCCTCCTCCTCCTCCTTTTCGTTATTATCCTCCTCCTCCTCCTCCTCCTCCTCTTCCTCCTCCTCCTCCTCCTCCTCCTCCTCCTCCTCCTCCTCCTCCTCCTCCTCCTCCTCCTCCTCCTCCTCCCCGTCCTCCACGAGCGTCGCCAGCATCCTCAATCAAGGATGCAGACAGCGCTGAGGCCGGAGCGCCATACCCAACAAGGGGTACGGCCGTGGCGCAGGCAACGGCACCAGTCCTGATCAGGGATGCGGTCGGCGCTTGAACTGCAGCGCCGTACCCTGCCAGGCGGCTGGCCAGCGCTGAGGCGAGAGCGGCATTCCCGAGCGGCCCCCGCGCCCAGAGGTGAAGGGAGAGGAGGAGGCGGCGCCTGTTTGAGCCGGGCGCGCGCGGCGGTCGTCGTCGTCGTCGTTCGTCCGTCGTCCTCGCGCGCGCCTCTCTTCCCTGATGTGACCAGCGTTCGAGCGGGCGCACCGTGTTCTCCGTGTCAGGGGTGCGGCCGGCGCTCGCACGGCAGCACCACGCATGCCAGCGCGCGGGTGGGGGGCCGTCGCCCTGCCGGCGGCGGCCGCCATCGGGGATGCGGCCGGTGCCCAGGCGAGGTCACACTCCTCGCCTTCCTCCCCAGCGTCCTCTCGGTGTTCGTCCTCGGCCTCCTCGTCCTCCTCGTCGCTCTCATCCCCCTCGTCCTTTGCCTCCTCATCGTCGTCCACCTCCCATTGTTCCGCATCGTCTTGCACGTGACGTTCCTGCTCATCTTCCTCGTCGCTACTCACCAACGCCCTGCAATTCCCCACCCTGGAGGTGTAAATCATATTGTAGCACCGACATGAGAAAGGTTTGTATGAAATTCGGCGGCAGCGGCGGCCGCCTTTCGATCACAATGCAGATGGTGGTGGCGATTGTAACGCTGACGACGGAAAGGCCACTGACGGCGCCGATGCTGGTGACCACGATGACGATGCCGATGATGACGACGTCCCGTCCATGTGCCGGTGATGAAGGCGACTGCGCTGACATTGGCAGCAATAGCGGCGATTGAAGATGACGACAACGGCAGTGATGCGATGGCGCTGATAAGAGCGATGAGGAATTGCGCTGGCAGGAAGTCAAGAAGTTTGGTAGACTTGGTGGAAAAGCTCATGTTCCCCTTCTCTGTGTGTGTGCAGAGCTCTACCTCGAAACGCTTCGCAAACCAATTGTTTTGGAAGGACTTCGACGCGCGCGCGCGCTCAGCGCGCGCATGTGGCCCCCCGCACGGTTTGAGTCGATACGGACTCTTGCGCTGGGCGCATGCTAGACCAACGCGGATGTACCACATGGTGAGGTGAGAGTGCGATCCGAACGAGATTTTTGATGCGGCATCCCTGGATGTTTGGGGCTTCCCTGGCTCAACGCAACTCCGTGAGGCGAGCGTGAAACCGTATCGCATACCCCTTGGAGTGTGCAGTTCAAAACGCGTGAGCCCGATGGTGGGGAAAGGAAAGCGAGAGACGCATGGAGGAGAGACAAAGGGAGCAACGCCTGCAAATACCGCGCGCAGGCCTCCTTGAGACCGGGTGGCTAATGGCCACTCACGAACAAGGAATCGCGGGGAAGAGACCCCACATATCCTGAAACGCATCTGTCTGACCAATAAATGACGGCAGAGGTATCGCAAAAGCACTGCATAACGCCTGCCAAGAAGGGAGAAAGCCCCTGACGCTGCCTACCTAGAGGCAGCACGACGGCGGGACGAACGTCAGCGTGGGAAAGAAACTCCCTCAGGCTGGTGAGGACAAACCTCGTGCTAGCACGCGATGCAATGAATACAGGCAGCATGCAGATCCGCGTCGCGTGCCTGCGGATTGGGACTTGTCAAAATGAAGGGGCCCTGGGACACACAAATAAATATACAAATAATAGGATTCCCCATATGTTCCCACATTTTCTGGGTTTTTGTCTTCCCCCCTACTTCCCATATTTTCCCATATGTTCTGGGGAATCGTCGATTAATTGTGTGTGTGTTTTTCCCCTCCTGTGAAAAGCGGGGCAAGCACGCCCTGTGGTGCCAGACAGGGCTAAACGCCCGGCGAGCGTCCGGCATGTTCGGCGGATCGGCCGCGCTCTGTGGCGCCACAGGACAGCGCCAACAACCCCAAAAAGTAAACCAACGCGCAGCAGCGAGTCGCAACGACGCCTCACTGCTGCCCCAGTTTTCCCTCGCTCGGCCCTCATGCCGCCCGCTTCGCCTTGACGTCCACTTGGCTCTTCGACACTGCCTACGCACCCCTCCGCTCTGTCAGCGCGACTGGATCAGAAGACTAGCGGAGGTCGACCCTTGCGGCCGGCAGTGTTGACGCTTTCGACGAGCTTGTGGCGGCCTGTGCTGCGCGCAGCGCATCGAGGCGACGACGATGCACGTGACCGGCGGCCCGGAGCCCCTCGACCCAGGCGGCCTTGCCCGCAACGGTGCTCTCGAGGGCAGCAGGCAGGCAGAGCTCCACACGCAGGCCCTTCTCCACGATCTGCTTCACGGTCTTGCCCAGGGAGTCCGAGCCGTCCTTGTCGACGCGGGACGTCAGGTCCAGGGAAACCACGATGGCCTTGGGCTGGCGCTCGAGCAGGACCTTTAGGCGCGCCTGGTGCTTCTCCTGGGTCAGGTAGACGAAGGGGCCAACCGGCTCGTACACCACGACGCACTCGCTGGCCTTATCAAGGACGTTCCCATCAGAATGATGCACTCGCTGGCTTCTCCTCGAAGACTCCGCCAGCGACCCCAAGATCGCCGCCGCGGGTGACGGCCTCAGCAACAGCCGAGAATCGTGGTGGTCCACCTCGACCGTGCAAGTTGCCGTCATGCTCGGATGCTGATCGCTCTGCTCGCTGCGCATGACCTGCTTCTCACCCACCCTGCTCGAGGTCATGCCCGGATGCTCGTCACCCCCCTCGGTGACGACGGCCTGCCTCACCTGGTTCTCCTCGTCGGCCCCCGAGTAGAGCGACAAACGGGACTCGGCGAGCGCCGTCTGGGAGGCGTCGCGAAGCAAGGCGAAGACCATGCCCAGAATCAGGCCGTAGACAGGGTCCGTGAAGACGCAGATCAGGCAGGTGAACACCAGGAGGCCGAGCCCGCCCTTGTCCGTCTTCCAGAGATTGACCATGTAGCGGACCGGGGCCATGCGGACGGAGGCGAAGATGAGAAGCGCGGCCACCGAGCACTGCGGCAGGCACGAGAAGACGGGCATGGCAACCACGGAGATTACGAGCACCGCGAGAGCGTTGATGACCTGCGACATCTTGTGGGTGGCACCCAGCGAGAAGTTCAGGGCCGTCCTCACAAAGACGCCTGTGGGAGGCATGGCGCCTACCGCACCGCAGACCGCGTGACAGATCATGATACCGAGCGTCTCGCGGCTGTCATCGAAGCCCCAGCCCGTCTTCTGCTCGGCGATCTTGGCCGAGATCAGCGTCTCGAGCACGGCCACGAAGGCGATGCCGAAGGCCGCAGTGAAGATGCCAAAGTAGTTGCCCTGCGCGTAAAACTCCAGGGACTGCTCTGGGGGGACGACGACCCTCGCCTTAAGCTCTCCGTACTTGTCCTTGAGCGTCGGGATGCGGATGCCGCCGAGGCTGTCCGAGTCGGAGAGGAAGCCGAGGAGGATCGTCAGGAGGGGGATGATCACCGTCCACGGGATCGGCTGGCCCTTGACCTTTGGGACCCACTTCACGAGAGAGAGGAGCAGCACCGCAAGGAACACGAAGGTGATGGCCGGCGCCCAGCTCAGCTCATCCAAGATCTTGAGGGACTCGATGACGTTCTCATAGAAGTTCGGGTGCTGCTAGAAGTGTCCCTGGCCCAGAGTGCCCCCAGCTTTTCGCTCAATCTTGGAGCCCCTGGGGCCCTCTGAGCCTCGTGAGGGGCGCTCTAGAGGCCGTGGGGGCCTCCTTGGAAATCCCGGGAGCACCCTGGGCCAGGGGAACTTCTAGCAACACCCGAGAAGTGCTCATGCTTGGGGCCTACTGGATGCAAGTCGAACGCCATGTTCAGCTGGTTCAGGCCAATGATGAGAGCGACGGCCAGGGTGAAGCCCTCGAAGACGGCCGTGGGCATCAGAAGCGAGTAACGCTGCAGGTTCAGCATGTAGATGACGAGGATCATGCAGGCCGAGAGGAGGGACAGGTACGGCAAGACCCCGATGCCGTTGTACTTGATCGTGTAAGTGGTAAGCATGCCACTCAGGGCACCAGCGGGCCCGACGATGTTGTGGTCGCTGGAGCCGAACAGTCCTGCACAGATGCCTCCCCAGAAGGCGGTGGCAACACCCATTGTCGGCGCGGCGGGGTCTGCGCCAGCTACCGACGCGATGCCGAGCGAGATCGAGAGCGGCACGCTGACCATCGCCACGGTGAGCGCCGCCTGCCAGTTCTCCATGAAGACACGGGGGGCAGGCTTGACGCCAGTCATGGTTTTCAGCGAGAGCCTGCCCCCGATCTCGTCAGTGCCAGGGGCGGGCTTGTTGTCCTCAGGCACCCCTGCCACAGTCATCGCGGACCCACGAGGTGTGCGGAGGGGGTGGAAGATGCCTTGCGGGAACCAGCTGTCGCCTCTGCAAGCCTTGAGACTTGAGCCGAAACCTCATCGGACAAGAACGGGAAGCGCCGATGTTGTCCACTGGGTTCGTAGGGGTGAGGACGACGGCAAGGCGGTGGCTGACGAGGATGATAGCATGGATGACGGGGAGGGTAGCGATGGGAGCAGAAGGACAGCGAGTGGGAAGACCAGCACGAGGACAAGGAGGAAAATATGGAGGAGGACGAATACGAGGAGGAATGAAGCGGAGGAGGAGGAGGAAGAAGAGAAGGAGGAGGGGGAGGAGGAGGAGAAGGACGACGAGGACGAAGTAGGACGGTAAGGAGCACGAGTAAGAGGACGTCGAAGAAGCGGGGGGGCCGTGATCTTTTGAGGCTGCCCTGGGGGCTGTTGGGGCCATCTGGGGCTATGTTTGGGCATCGTGGGGGCCTCTTAGAGGGCTGTCGGGGTCCTCTTAGGGGGCTACTGGGGTCTTCTTGGGCTGTCTGGGCGTGGCTTACGGTTCTGTGGAGGCTCTCTCAGGCCGTCTTGGCGCCATCTTGGGCTGTCCTGGGTCTCTTAGGGGGCCTCTTGGGACACTCTTTTGGGGTCCTCCGGGGGGGCTTTGAGGGTTCTTCTGGGCCACGGTGGTCCCCTCCAAGAGCGATTCCAAGACGGCGTTGCTTCGGAGCCTCCTCCGGAGCCAGTTGTTCGAAGATGTCCCGAGCGAAACGGCCATTTTCAGAAACCCACCCGGACAAACGGGAAGCACCGTTTCTGTAAGCTTGCGTGCGCACGCGCGCATGGATCAGCACCCAACACGCATGGGCACAAATGGGGTGCACTCGCGGGCTTCCCCATAATATCCGAGTGGTTGCCATTGTGTTTATGGTCGCCTACGGCTGCGCATGTTCTGTGTACGAGCGCATGTATGTGTGTATGTATGTGTATGTGTATGTGTCTGTGTCTGTGCCATTGTCTGTGTCTGTCTGTGTCTGTGTCTGTGTCTGTGTCTGTGTCTGTGTCTGCGTGTGTGTATGTGCATGTGTCTGTGTCTGTGTCTGTGTCTGCGTGTGTGTATGTGCATGTGTATGTGTATGTGTATGTGATGTGTATGTATGTGTATGTATGTGTATGTGTATGTGTATATGAATGTATGTGGGTATGTATGTATGTGTATGCGTGTATGAGTGTATGTGTGTACGTGTGTATGTGTATGTGTGTGTCCATGTGTCTGTGTATATTGTGTATATGTGTATGTGTAGATGTGTCCATGCGTATGTGTAAAGATTTGCATATGTGTGCACATGTGTGTATGAGTGTCTTTGTGTGTGTGCATGTGTATATGTGTGTATGTGTGTGTGTGCATGTGAGTATGTGTGTATGTATGTAAATGTGTATGTGCATGTGTATATGTGTATGTGCGTATGTGTATGTGTGTATGTGTATGTGTGTGCCTGTGTATGTGTGCATGTGTGTATGTATGAATGTGTGTATGCTTGTATGTGTTCCCCAATCAGAGCTTGCCTCTGTAGGGGTCCTAGCGGATTCGCATGGTTAGGCGAATTAGCTGTGGCGCGATTTCGACGCCTGGGTACCCGGGTGCCTGGGAGGGGCTTCCCTGGCTCAACGCAACTAACTCAGTGAGGCGAGCGTGAAACCGTTACGCATACCCCTTGAATTGCGCAGTTCAAAACGCGTGAGCCCGATGGTGGGGAAGGAAAGCGAGAGACGCATGGAGGAGAGAAGAAGGGAGCAACGCCTGCAAATACCGCGCACAGGCCTCCTTGAGACCGGGTGGCTAATGGCCACTCACGAACAAGGAATCGCGGGGAAGAGACCCACATATCCTGAAACGCATCTGTCTGACCAATAAATGACGGCAGAGGTATCGCAAAAGCACTGCATAACGCCTGCCAAGAAGGGAGAAAGCCCCTGACGCTGCCTACCTAGAGGCAGCACGACGGCGGGACGAACGTCAGCGTGGGAAAGAAACTCCATCAGGCTGGTGAGGACAAACCTCGTGCTAGCACGCGATGCAATCAATACAGGCAGCATGCAGATCCGTGTCGCGTGCCTGCGGATTGGGACTTGTCAAAATGAAGGGGCCCTGGGACACACAAATAAATATACAAATAATAGGATTCCCCATATGTTCCCACATTTTCTGGGTTTTTGTCTTCCCCCCTACTTCCCATATTTTCCCATATGTTCTGGGGAATCGTCGATTAATTGTGTGTGTGTTTTCCCCTCCTGTTAAAAGCGGGGCAAGCACGCCCTGTGAGGCCAGACAGGGCTAAACGCCCGGCAAGCGTCCGGCATGTTCGGCGGATCGGCCGCGCTCTGTGGCGCCACAGGACAGCGCCAACAACCCCAAAAAGTAGACCAACGCGCAGCAGCGAGTCGCAACGACGCGAAACTGCTGCCCCAGTTTTCCCTCGCTCGGCCCTCATGCCGCCCGCTTCGCCTTGACGTCCACTTGGCTCTTCGACACTGCCTACGCACCCCTCTGCGCTGTCGGCGCGACTGGATCAGAAGACTAGCGGAGGTCGACCCTTGCGGCCAGCAGTGTTCACGCTTTCGACGAGCTCGTGGCGGCCTGTGCTGCGCGCAGCGCATCGAGGCGACGACGATGCACGTGACCAGCGGCCCGGAGCCCCTCGACCCAGGCGGCCTTGCCCGCAACGGTGCTCTCGAGGGCAGCACGCAGGCACAGCTCCACACGCAGGCCCTTCTCCACGATCTGCTTCACGGTCTTGCCCAGGGAGTCCGAGCCGTCCTTGTCGACGCGGGACGTCAGGTCCAAGGAAACCACGATGGCCTTGGGCTGGCGCTCGAGCAGGACCTTCAGGCGCGCCTGGTGCTTCTCCTGGGTCAGGTAGACGAAGGGGCCAACCGGCTCGTACACCACGACGCACTCGCTGGCCTTATCAAGGACGTTCCCATCAGAATGATGCACTCGCTGGCTTCTCCTCGAAGACTCCGCCAGCGACCCCAGGATCGCCGCCGCGGGTGACGGCCTCAGCAACAGCCGAGAATCGTGGTGGTCCACCTCGACCGTGCAAGTTGCCATCATGCTCGGATGCTGATCGCTCTGCTCGCTGCGCATGACCTGCTTCTCACCCACCCTGCTCGAGGTCATGCCCGGATGCTCGTCACCCCCCTCGGTGACGACGACCTGCCTCACCTGGTTCTCCTCGTCGGCCCCCGAGTAGAGCGACAAATGGGACTCGGCGAGCGCCGTCTGGGAAGCGTCGCGAAGCAAGGCGAAGACCATGCCCAGAATCAGGCCGTAGACAGGGTCCGTGAAGACGCAGATCAGGCAGGTGAACACCAGGAGGCCGAGCCCGCCCTTGTCCGTCTTCCAGAGATTGACCATGTAGCGGACCGGGGCCATGCGGACGGAGGCGAAGATGAGAAGCGCAGCCACCGAACACTGCGGCAGGTACGAGAAGACGGGCATGGCAACCACGGAGATTACGAGCACCGCGAGAGCGTTGATGACCTGCGACATCTTGTGGGTGGCACCCAGCGAGAAGTTCAGGGCCGTCCTCACAAAGACGCCTGTGGGAGGCATGGCGCCTACCGCACCGCAGACCGCGTGACAGATCATGATACCGAGCGTCTCGCGGCTGTCATCGAAGCCCCAGCCCGTCTTCTGCTCGGCGATCTTGGCCGAGATCAGCGTCTCGAGCACGGCCACGAAGGCGATGCCGAAGGCCGCAGTGAAGATGCCAAAGTAGTTGCCCTGCGCGTAAAACTCCAGGGACTGCTCTGGGGGGACGACGACCCTCGCCTTAAGCTCTCCGTACTTGTCCTTGAGCGTCGGGATGCGGATGCCGCCGAGGCTGTCCGAGTCGGAGAGGAAGCCGAGGAGGATCGTCAGGAGCGGGATGATCACCGTCCACGGGATCGGCTGGCCCTTGACCTTTGGGACCCACTTCACGAGAGAGAGGAGCAGCACCGCAAGGAACACGAAGGTGATGGCTGGCGCCCAGCTCAGCTCATCCAAGATCTTGAGGGACTCGATGACGTTCTCATAGAAGTTCGGGTGCTGCTAGAAGTGCCCCTGGCCCAGAGTGCCCCCAGCTTTTCGCTCAATCTTGGAGCCCCTGGGGCCCTCTGAGCCTCGTGAGGGGCGCTCTGGAGGCCGTGGGGGGCCTCCTTGGAAATCCCGGGAGCACCCTGGGCCAGGGGAACCTCTAGCAACACCCGAGAAGTGCTCATGCTTGGGGCCTACGGGATGCAAGTCGAACGCCATGTTCAGCTGGTTCAGGCCAATGATGAGAGCGACGGCCAGGGTGAAGCCCTCGAAGACGGCCGTGGGCATCAGAAGCGAGTAACGCTGCAGGTTCAGCATGTAGATGACGAGGATCATGCAGGCCGAGAGGAGGGACAGGTACGGCAAGACCCCGATGCCGTTGTACTTGATCGTGTAGGTGGTAAGCATGCCACTCAGGGCACCAGCGGGCCCGACGATGTTGCGGTCGCTGGAGCCGAACAGTCCTGCACAGATGCCTCCCCAGAAGGCGGTGGCAACACCCATTGTCGGCGCGGCGGGGTCTGCGCCAGCTACCGACGCGATGCCGAGCGAGATCGAGAGCGGCACGCTGACCATCGCCACGGTGAGCGCCGCCTGCCAGTTCTCCATGAAGACACGGGGGGCAGGCTTGACGCCAGTCATGGTTTTCAGCGAGAGCCTGCCCCCGATCTCGTCAGTGCCAGGGGCGGGCTTGTTGTCCTCAGGCACCCCTGCCACAGTCATCGCGGACCGACGAGGTGCGCGGAGGGGGTGGAAGCTGCCTTGTGGGAACAAGCTGTCGCCTCTGCAAGCCTTGAGACTTGAGCCGAAACCTCATCGGACAAGAACGGGAAGCGCCGATGTTGTCCACTGGGCTCGTAGGGGTGAGGACGACGGCAAGGCGGTGGCTGACGAGGATGATAGCATGGATGACGGGGAGGGTAGCGATGGGAGCAGGAGGACAGCGAGTGGGAAGACAAGCACGAGGACAAGGAGAAAAATATGGAGGAGGACGAATACGAGGAGGAATGAAGCGGAGGAGGAGGAAGAAGAGGAGAAGGAGGAGGGGGAGGAGGAGAAGAAGGACGACGATGACGAAGTAGGACGGTAAGGAGCACGAGTAAGAGGACGTCGAAGAAGCGGGGGGGCCGTGTTCTTTTGAGGCTGCCCTGGGGGCTGTTGGGGCCATCTGGGGCTATGTTCGGGCATCGTAGGGGCCTCTTAGAGGGCTGTCGGGATCCTCTTAGGGGGCTACTGGGGTCTTCTTGGGCTGCCTGGGCGTCGCCTACGGTTCTGTGGAGGCTCTCTGAGGCCGGCCGTCTTGGCGCCATCTTGGGCTGTCCTGGGTCTCTTAGGGGGCCTCTTGGGACACTCTTTCGGGGTCCTCCGGGGGGCTTTGAGGGTTCTTCTGGGCCACGGTGGTCCCCTCCAAGAGCGATTCCAAGACGGCGTTGCTTCGGAGCCTCCTCCGGAGCCAGTTGTTCGAGGATGTCCCGAGCGAAACGGTCATTTTCAGAAACCTACCCGGACAAACGGGAAGCACCGTTTCTGTAAGCTTGCGCGCGCACGCGCGCATGGATCAGCACCCAACACGCATGGGCACAAATGGGGTGCACTCGCGGGCTTCCCCAGAATATCCGAGTGGTTGCCATTGTGTTTAATGGTCGCCTGCGGTTGCGCATGTTCTGTGTACGCGCGTATGTTATGTGTGTATGTATGTGTATGTGTCTGTGTCTGTGTCTGTGTCTGTGTCATTGTCTGTGTCTGTGTCTGTGTCTGTGTCTGTGTCTGTGTCTGTGTCTGTGTCTGTGTCTGTGTCTGCGTGTGTGTAGGTGCATGTGTATGTGCATATGTATGTTATGTGTATGTATGTGTATGTGTATGTGTATGTGTATGTGTATATGACTGTATGTGGGTATATGTGTGTATGTGTGTATGCGTGTATGCGTGTATGCGTGTATATGTGTACGTGTGTATATGTATATGTGTGCCCATGTGTGTCTGTGTATATTGTGTATATGTCATATGTGTAGATGTGTCTATGCGTATGTGTAAATATGTGCATATGTGTGTACATGTGTGTATGAGTGCCTTTTTGTGTATGTGTGTATGAATATATGTGTATGTGTATGTGTGTGCATGTGAGTACGTGTGTATGAATGTATATGTGTATGTGCACGTGTGTATGTGTACATGTGTATGTGTGTATGTGTGTATGTGTGAATGTGTGTGTGTGTGTCTGTGTATGTGTGCATGTGTGTATGTGTGAATGTGTGTATGTTTGTATGTGTGTTCTCCAATCAGAGCTTGCCTCTGTAGGGGTCCTAGCGGATTCGAATGGTTAGGCGAATTAGCTGTGGCGCGATTTCGACGCCTGGGTGCCCGGGTGCCCCGGAGGGGCTTCCCTGGCTCAACGCAACTCAGTGAGGCGAGCGTGAAACCGTTACGCATACCCCTTGAATTGCGCAGTTCAAAACGCGTGAGCCCGATGGTGGGGAAGGAAAGCGAGAGACGCATGGAGGAGAGAAAAAGGGAGCAACGCCTGCAATACCCGCGCACAGGCCTCCTGAGACCGGGTGGCTGATGACCACTCAAGAACAGGAATCGCGGGGAAAAGAGGGACCCCACCGTATCCTGAAACGCATCTGTTGACCAATAAATAAATGACGGCAGAGGCATCGCAAAAGCGCGCTGGCAGAACGCCTGCCAAGGAAGGGAGAAAGCCCCCTTGGAAGCTGCCTCTCCCTACCTAGAAGTGCAGCACGAAGCGGGACGAACGTTAGGGGGGAAAGGAAACCCCCCAGGCTGGTGAGGACAAACCTTCGTGCTAGCACGCGATTGCTATCATACAGGCAGCAGATTCGCGTCGCGTTGCCTGCGGATTGGAGAATTGTCAAAATGAAGGGGCCTGGGGACACACAAAATAAATACAACAACTAATGGACAGGATCCCCTATGTTCCCACATTTTCTGGGTTTTTTTGTCTCCCCCCCACTTCCCATAATTTTCCCATATGTTATGGGGAATCGATTAATTGCGTGTGTTTTCCCCTCTGTTAAAAAAGCGGGGCAGGGCACGGCCCTGTGAGGCCAGACAGGGCTAAACGCCCGGCAAGCGTCCGGCATGTTCGGCGGATCGGCCGCGCTCTGTGGCGCCACAGGACAGCGCCAACAACCCCAAAAAGTAGACCAACGCGCAGCAGCGAGTCGCAACGACGCGAAACTGCTGCCCCAGTTTTCCCTCGGCCCTCATGCCGCCCGCTTCGCCTTGACGCCCACTTGGCTCTTCGACACTGCCTACGCACCCCTCCGCGCTGTCCGCGCGACTGGATCAGAAGACTAGCGGAGGTCGACCCTTGCGGCCGGCAGTGTTCACGCTTTCGACGAGCTCGTGGCGGCCTGTGCTGCGCGCAGCGCATCGAGGCGACGACGATGCACGTGACCGGCGGCCTGGAGCCCCTCGACCCAGGCGGCTTTGCCCGCAACGGTGCTCTCGAGGGCAGCAGGCAGGCACAGCTCCACACGCAGGCCCTTCTCCACGATCTGCTTCACGGTCTTGCCCAGGGAGTCCGAGCCGTCCTTGTCGACGCGGGACGTCAGGTCCAGGGAAACCACGATGGCCTTGGGCTGGCGCTCGAGCAGGACCTTCAGGCGCGCCTGGTGCTTCTCCTGGGTCAGGTAGACGAAGGGGCCAACCGGCTCGTACACCACGACGCACTCGCTGGCCTTATCAAGGACGTTCCCATCAGAATGATGCACTCGCTGGCTTCTCCTCGAAGACTCCGCCAGCGACCCCAGGATCGCCGCCGCGGGTGACGGCCTCAGCAACAGCCGAGAATCGTGGTGGTCCACCTCGACCGTGCAAGTTGCCGTCATGCTCGGATGCTGATCGCTCTGCTCGCTGCGCATGACCTGCTTCTCACCCACCCTGCTCAAGGTCATGCCCGGATGCTCGTCACCCCCCTCGGTGACGACGACCTGCTTCACCTGGTTCTCCTCGTCGGCCCCCGAGTAGAGCGACAAACGGGACTCGGCGAGCGCCGTCTGGGAGGCGTCGCGAAGCAAGGCGAAGACCATGCCCAGAATCAGGCCGTAGACAGGGTCCGTGAAGACGCAGATCAGGCAGGTGAACACCAGGAGGCCGAGCCCGCCCTTGTCCGTCTTCCAGAGATTGACCATGTAGCGGACCGGGGCCATGCGGACGGAGGCGAAGATGAGAAGCGCAGCCACCGAGCACTGCGGCAGGTACGAGAAGACGGGCATGGCAACCACGGAGATTACGAGCACCGCGAGAGCGTTGATGACCTGCGACATCTTGTGGGCGGCACCCAACGAGAAGTTCAGGGCCGTCCTCACAAAGACGCCTGTGGGAGGCATGGCGCCTACCGCACCGCAGACCGCGTGACAGATCATGATACCGAGCGTCTCGCGGCTGTCATCGAAGCCCCAGCCCGTCTTCTGCTCGGCGATCTTGGCCGAGATCAGCGTCTCGAGCACGGCCACGAAGGCGATGCCGAAGGCCGCAGTGAAGATGCCAAAGTAGTTGCCCTGCGCGTAAAACTCCAGGGACTGCTCTGGGGGGACGACGACCCTCGCCTTAAGCTCTCCGTACTTGTCCTTGAGCGTCGGGATGCGGATGCCGCCGAGGCTGTCCGAGTCGGAGAGGAAAGAAGCGGAGGGGAGGATCGCAGGGAGCGGGATGATCCACCGCCAGGGATCGGCGGCCCTTGACCTGTAGGGACCCCACTTCAGAAGAGAGAAGGAGCAGCACCGCAAGGAAACGAAGGTGTGGCCGGCGCCCAGCGAGCTAATCCAAGGATCTGATGGGCACTCGATGACGTTCTCATAGAAAGTTCGGTGCTGCTCGAGTGCCCTGGCCAGAGTGCCCCCAGCTTTTCGCTCAACTTGGGAGCCTGGGGCCCTCGGAGCCTCGTGAGGGGCGCTCTGGAGGCCGTGGGGGGCCTCCTTGGAAACCCGGGGGGCACCCTGGGCCAGGGGTAACCTTAGAAACAAACCCGAGAAGTGATCATGTTGGGGCCTACGGGATTTGCAAGTCGAACGCATGTTCAGATGGTTCAGGCCATGATGAGAGCGACGGCCAGGGTGAAGCCCTCGAAGACGGCCGTGGGCATCAGAAGCGAGTAACGCTGCAGGTTCAGCATGTAGATGACGAGGATCATGCAGGCCGAGAGGAGGGACAGGTACGGCAAGACCCCGATGCCGTTGTACTTGATCGTGTAAGTGGTAAGCATGCCACTCAGGGCACCAGCGGGCCCGACGATGTTGTGGTCGCTGGAGCCGAACAGTCCTGCACAGATGCCTCCCCAGAAGGCGGTGGCAACACCCATTGTCGGCGCGGCGGGGTCTGCGCCAGCTACCGACGCGATGCCGAGCGAGATCGAGAGCGGCACGCTGACCATCGCCACGGTGAGCGCCGCCTGCCAGTTCTCCATGAAGACACGGGGGGCAGGCTTGACGCCAGTCATGGTTTTCAGCGAGAGCCTGCCCCCGATCTCGTCAGTGCCAGGGGCGGGCTTGTTGTCCTCAGGCACCCCTGCCACAGTCATCGCGGACCGACGAGGTGTGCGGAGGGGGTGGAAGCTGCCTTGTGGGAACCAGCTGTCGCCTCTGCAAGCCTTGAGACTTGAGCCGAAACCTCATCGGACAAGAACGGGAAGCGCCGATGTTGTCCACTGGGTTCGTGGGGGTGAGGACGACGGCAAGGCGGTGGCTGACGAGGATGATAGCATGGATGACGGGGAGGGTAGCGATGGGAGCAGAAGGACAGCGAGTGGGAAGACCAGCACGAGGACAAGGAGGAAAATATGGAGGAGGACGAATACGAGGAGGAATGAAGCGGAGGAGGAGGAAGAAGAGAAGGAGGAGGGGGAGGAGAAGGACGACGAGGACGAAGTAGGACGGTAAGGAGCACGAGTAAGAGGACGTCGAAGAAGCGGGGGGGCCGTGATCTTTTGAGGCTGCCCTGGGGGCTGTTGGGGCCATCTGGGGCTATGTTTGGGCATCGTGGGGGCCTCTTAGAGGGCTGTCGGGGTCCTCTTAGGGGGCTACTGGGGTCTTCTTGGGCTGTCTGGGCGTGGCTTACGGTTCTGTGGAGGCTCTCTCAGGCCGTCTTGGCGCCATCTTGGGCTGTCCTGGGTCTCTTAGGGGGCCTCTTGGGACACTCTTTTGGGGTCCTCCGGGGGGGCTTTGAGGGTTCTTCTGGGCCACGGTGGTCCCCTCCAAGAGCGATTCCAAGACGGCGTTGCTTCGGAGCCTCCTCCGGAGCCAGTTGTTCGAAGATGTCCCGAGCGAAACGGCCATTTTCAGAAACCCACCCGGACAAACGGGAAGCACCGTTTCTGTAAGCTTGCGTGCGCACGCGCGCATGGATCAGCACCCAACACGCATGGGCACAAATGGGGTGCACTCGCGGGCTTCCCCATAATATCCGAGTGGTTGCCATTGTGTTTATGGTCGCCTACGGTTGCGCATGTTCTGTGTACGAGCGCATGTATGTGTGTATGCATGTGTATGTGTATGTGTCTGTGTCTGTGCCATTGTCTGTGTCTGTCTGTGTCTGTGTCTGTGTCTGTGTCTGTGTCTGTGTCTGCGTGTGTGTATGTGCATGTGTCTGTGTCTGTGTCTGTGTCTGCGTGTGTGCATGGTGCATGTGTATGTGTATGTGTATGTGATGTGTATGTATGTGTATGTATGTGTATGTGTATGTGTATATGAATGTATGTGGATATGTATGTATGTGTATGCGTGTATGAGTGTATGTGTGTACGTGTGTATGTGTATGTGTGTGTCCATGTGTCTGTGTATATTGTGTATATGTGTATGTGTAGATGCGTCCATGCGTACGTGTAAAGATTCGCATATGTGTGCACATGTGTGTATGAGTGTCTTTGTGTGTGTGTGTGCATGTGTATATGTGTGTATGTGTGTGCATGTGAGTATGTGTGTATGTATGTAAATGTGTATGTGCATGTGTATATGTGTATGTGCGTATGTGCATGTGTGTATGTGTATGTGTGTGCCTGTGTATGTGTGCATGTGTGTATGTATGAATGTGTGTATGTTTGTATGTGTTCCCCAATCAGAGCTTGCCTCTGTAGGGGTCCTAGCGGATTCGCATGGTTAGGCGAATTAGCTGTGGCGCGATTTCGACGCCTGGGTACCCGGGTGCCTGGGAGGGGCTTCCCTGGCTCAACGCAACTAACTCAGTGAGGCGAGCGTGAAACCGTTACGCATACCCCTTGAATTGTGCAGTTCAAAACGCGTGAGCCCGATGGTGGGGAAAGGAAAGCGAGAGACGCATGGAGGAGAGACAAAGGGAGCAACGCCTGCAAATACCGCGCGCAGGCCTCCTTGAGACCGGGTGGCTAATGGCCACTCACGAACAGGGAATCGCGGGGAAGAGACCCCACATATCCTGAAACGCATCTGTCTGACCAATAAATGACGGCAGAGGTATCGCAAAAGCACTGCATAACGCCTGCCAAGAAGGGAGAAAGCCCCTGACGCTGCCTACCTAGAGGCAGCACGACGGCGGGACGAACGTCAGCGTGGGAAAGAAACTCCCTCAGGCTGGTGAGGACAAACCTCGTGCTAGCACGCGATGCAATGAATACAGGCAGCATGCAGATCCGTGTCGCGTGCCTGCGGATTGGGACTTGTCAAAATGAAGGGGCCCTGGGACACACAAATAAATATACAAATAATAGGATTCCCCATATGTTCCCACATTTTCTGGGTTTTTGTCTTCCCCCCTACTTCCCATATTTTCCCATATGTTCTGGGGAATCGTCGATTAATTGTGTGTGTGTGTTTTTCCCCTCCTGTGAAAAGCGGGGCAAGCACGCCCTGCGGTGCCAGACAGGGCTAAACGCCCGGCGAGCGTCCGGCATGTTCGGCGGATCGGCCGCGCTCTGTGGCGCCACAGGACAGCGCCAACAACCCCAAAAAGTAAACCAACGCGCAGCAGCGAGTCGCAACGACGCCTCACTGCTGCCCCAGTTTTCCCTCGCTCGGCCCTCATGCCGCCCGCTTCGCCTTGACGTCCACTTGGCTCCTCGACACTGCCTACGCACCCCTCCGCTCTGTCAGCGCGACTGGATCAGAAGACTAGCGGAGGTCGACCCTTGCGGCTGGCAGTGTTGACGCTTTCGACAAGCTTGTGGCGGCCTGTGCTGCGCGCAGCGCATCGAAGCGACGACGATACACGTGACCGGCGGCCCGGAGCCCCTCGACCCAGGCGGCCTTGCCCGCAACGGTGCTCTCGAGGGCAGCAGGCAGGCAGAGCTCCACACGCAGGCCCTTCTCCACGATCTGCTTCACGGTCTTGCCCAGGGAGTCCGAGCCGTCCTTGTCGACGCGGGACGTCAGGTCCAGGGAAACCACGATGGCCTTGGGCTGGCGCTCGAGCAGGACCTTTAGGCGCGCCTGGTGCTTCTCCTGGGTCAGGTAGACGAAGGGGCCAACCGGCTCGTACACCACGACGCACTCGCTGGCCTTATCAAGGACGTTCCCATCAGAATGGTGCACTCGCTGGCTTCTCCTCGAAGACTCCGCCAGCGACCCCAAGATCGCCGCCGCGGGTGACGGCCTCAGCAACAGCCGAGAATCGTGGTGGTCCACCTCGACCGTGCAAGTTGCCGTCATGCTCGGATGCTGATCGCTCTGCTCGCTGCGCATGACCTGCTTCTCACCCACCCTGCTCAAGGTCATGCCCGGATGCTCGTCACCCCCCTCGGTGACGACGACCTGCTTCACCTGGTTCTCCTCGTCGGCCCCCGAGTAGAGCGACAAACGGGACTCGGCGAGCGCCGTCTGGGAGGCGTCGCGAAGCAAGGCGAAGACCATGCCCAGAATCAGGCCGTAGACAGGGTCCGTGAAGACGCAGATCAGGCAGGTGAACACCAGGAGGCCGAGCCCGCCCTTGTCCGTCTTCCAGAGATTGACCATGTAGCGGACCGGGGCCATGCGGACGGAGGCGAAGATGAGAAGCGCAGCCACCGAGCACTGCGGCAGGTACGAGAAGACGGGCATGGCAACCACGGAGATTACGAGCACCGCGAGAGCGTTGATGACCTGCGACATCTTGTGGGTGGCACCCAGCGAGAAGTTCAGGGCCGTCCTCACAAAGACGCCTGTGGGAGGCATGGCGCCTACCGCACCGCAGACCGCGTGACAGATCATGATACCGAGCGTCTCGCGGCTGTCATCGAAGCCCCAGCCCGTCTTCTGCTCGGCGATCTTGGCCGAGATCAGCGTCTCGAGCACGGCCACGAAGGCGATGCCGAAGGCCGCAGTGAAGATGCCAAAGTAGTTGCCCTGCGCGTAAAACTCCAGGGACTGCTCTGGGGGGACGACGACCCTCGCCTTAAGCTCTCCGTACTTGTCCTTGAGCGTCGGGATGCGGATGCCGCCGAGGCTGTCCGAGTCGGAGAGGAAGCCGAGGAGGATCGTCAGGAGCGGGATGATCACCGTCCACGGGATCGGCTGGCCCTTGACCTTTGGGACCCACTTCACGAGAGAGAGGAGCAGCACCGCAAGGAACACGAAGGTGATGGCCGGCGCCCAGCTCAGCTCATCCAAGATCTTGAGGGACTCGATGACGTTCTCATAGAAGTTCGGGTGCTGCTAGAAGTGCCCCTGGCCCAGAGTGCCCCCAGCTTTTCGCTCAATCTTGGAGCCCCTGGGGCCCTCGGAGCCTCGTGAGGGGCGCTCTGGAGGCCGTGGGGGGCCTCCTTGGAAATCCCGGGAGCACCCTGGGCCAGGGGAACCTCTAGCAACACCCGAGAAGTGCTCATGCTTGGGGCCTACGGGATGCAAGTCGAACGCCATGTTCAGCTGGTTCAGGCCAATGATGAGAGCGACGGCCAGGGTGAAGCCCTCGAAGACGGCCGTGGGCATCAGAAGCGAGTAACGCTGCAGGTTCAGCATGTAGATGACGAGGATCATGCAGGCCGAGAGGAGGGACAGGTACGGCAAGACCCCGATGCCGTTGTACTGATCGTGTAAGTGTAAGCAATCCACTCAGGCAACCTGCGGGCCCGAAGATGTTTGTGTGGTCGCTGGAAGCAGAAACAGTCCTGCAAGATGCTCCCCCAGAAGCGGGCCAACACCATTGTCGCGCGGCGGGGTCTGCGCCAGCTACCGACGGATGCCGAGCGAGATCGAGAGCGGCAACCGCTGACCATCCCACGGTGAGCCGCCTCCAGTTCTCCATGTAACACGGTGGGCAGGCTTGAACGCCAGTCCATTGGTTTTCAAGCGAGAGCCTGCCCCCGATCTCGTCAGTGCCTCAGGGGGGTTGTTGTCCTCAGGCACCTCTGCCACAGTCATCGCGGACCGACTGGTTGTGCGGAGGGGGTGGAAGCTGCCTTGTGGGAACAAGCTGTCGCCTCTGCAAGCCTTGAGACTTGAGCCGAAACCTCATCGGACAAGAACGGGAAGCGCCGATGTTGTCCACTGGGCTCGTAGGGGTGAGGACGACGGCAAGGCGGTGGCTGACGAGGATGATAGCATGGATGACGGGGAGGGTAGCGATGGGAGCAGGAGGACAGCGAGTGGGAAGACAAGCACGAGGACAAGGAGAAAAATATGGAGGAGGACGAATACGAGGAGGAATGAAGCGGAGGAGGAGGAAGAAGAGGAGAAGGAGGAGGGGGAGGAGGAGAAGAAGGACGACGATGACGAAGTAGGACGGTAAGGAGCACGAGTAAGAGGACGTCGAAGAAGCGGGGGGGCCGTGTTCTTTTGAGGCTGCCCTGGGGGCTGTTGGGGCCATCTGGGGCTATGTTCGGGCATCGTAGGGGCCTCTTAGAGGGCTGTCGGGATCCTCTTAGGGGGCTACTGGGGTCTTCTTGGGCTGCCTGGGCGTCGCCTACGGTTCTGTGGAGGCTCTCTCAGGCCGTCTTGGCGCCATCTTGGGCTGTCCTGGGTCTCTTAGGGGGCCTCTTGGGACACTCTTTCGGGGTCCTCCGGGGGGGCTTTGAGGGTTCTTCTGGGCCACGGTGGTCCCCTCCAAGAGCGATTCCAAGACGGCGTTGCTTCGGAGCCTCCTCCGGAGCCAGTTGTTCGAGGATGTCCCAAGCGAAACGGCCATTTTCAGAAACCTACCCAGACAAACGGGAAGCACCATTTCTGTAAGCTTGCGTGCGCACGCGCGCATGGATCAGCACCCAACACGCATAGGCATAAATGGGGTGCACTCGCGGGCTTCCAAGAATATCCGAGTGGTTGCCATTGTGTTTAATGGTCGCCTGCAGTTGCGCATGTTCTGTGTACGCGCGTATGTATGTGTGTATGTATGTGTATGTGTCTGTGCCTGTGTCTGTGTCATTGTCTGTGTCTGTGTCTGTGTCTGTGTCTGTGTCTGTGTCTGTGTCTGTCTGTGACTGTGTCTGTGTCTGTGTCTGTGTCTGTGTCTGTGTCTGTGTCTGTGTCTGTGTCTGTGTCTGTGTCTGTGTCTGTGTCTGTGTCTGTGTCTGTGTCTGCGTGTGTGTATGTGCATGTGTATGTGTATGTGTATGTGATGTGTATGTATGTGTATGTGTGTATATGAATGTATGTGTGTATGTGTGTATGCGTGTATGCGTGTATGCGTGTATGTGTGTACGTGTATATATGTATATGTGTGTCCATGTGTGTCTATGTGTATATTGTGTATATGCATATGTGTAGATGTGTGTATGCGTATGTGTAAGTATGTGCATATGTGTGTAATGTGTGTATGAGTGTCTTTGTGTGTATGTGTGTATGTGTATATGTATATGTGTATGTGTGTATGTGAGTATGTGTGTATGTATGTGTATGTGTATGTGCATGTGTGTATGTGTGTATGTGTATGTGTGTATGTGTGTATGTGTGTATGTGTGTATGTGTGTGTGTGTCTGTGTATGTGTGCATGTGTGTATGTGTGAATGTGTGTATGTTTGTATGTGTGTTCCCCAATCAGAGCTTGCCTCTGTAGGGGTCCTAGCGGATTCGCATGGTTAGGTTGATTAGCTGTGGCGCAATTTCGGATGCACGCCTGGGTGCCCGGGTGCCCGGGAGGGGCTTCCCTGGCTCAACGCAACTCAGTGAGGCGAGCGTGAAACCGTTACGCATACCCCTTGAATTGTGCAGTTCAAAACGCGTGAGCCCGATGGTGGGGAAGGAAAGCGAGAGCCGCATGGAGGAGAGAAGAAGGGAGCAACGCCTGCAAATACCGCGCACAGGCCTCCTTGAGACCGGGTGGCTGATGACCACTCACGAACAAGGAATCGCGGGGAAGAGACCCCACATATCCTGAAACGCATCTGTCTGACCAATAAATGACGGCAGAGGTATCGCAAAAGCGTTGCAGAACGCCTGCCAAGGAGGGAGAAAGCCCCTGACGCTGCCTACCTAGAGGCAGCACGACGGCGGGACGAACGTTAGCGTGGGAAAGAAACTCCCTCAGGCTGGTGAGGACAAACCTCGTGCTAGCACGCGATGCAATCAATACAGGCGGTAGATCCGTGTCGCTTGCCTGCGGATTGGTACTTGTCAAAATGAAGGGGCCCTGGGACACACAAATAAATACACACAAATAACAGGATTCCCCATATGTTCCCACATGTTCTGGGTTTTTGTCTTCCCCCCCACTTCCCATATTTTCCCATATGTTCTGGGGAATCGTCGATTAATTGTGTCTGTGTGCTGTTCCCCTCCTGTTAAAGAGGGGCAGGCACGCCCTGTGAGGCCAGACAGGGCTAAACGCCCAGCAAGCGTCCGGCATGTTCGGCGGATCGGCCGCGCTCTGTGGCGCCACAGGACAGCGCCAACAACCCCAAAAAGTAGACCAGCGCGCAGCAGCGAGCCGCAACGACGCCTCACTGCTGCCCCAGTTTTCCCTCGCTCGGCCCTCATGCCGCCCGCTTCGCCTTGACGTCCACTTGGCTCTTCGACACTGCCTACGCACCCCTCTGCGCTGTCGGCGCGACTGGATCAGAAGACTAGCGGAGGTCGACCCTTGCGGCCGGCAGTGTTCACGCTTTCGACGAGCTCGTGGCGGTCTGTGCTGCGCGCAGCGCATCGAGGCGACGACGATGCACGTGACCGGCGGCCCGGAGCCCCTCGACCCAGGCGGCCTTGCCCGCAACGGTGCTCTCGAGGGCAGCAGGCAGGCACAGCTCCACTCGCAGGCCCTTCTCCACGATCTGCTTCACGGTCTTGCCCAGGGAGTCCGAGCCGTCCTTGTCGACGCGGGACGTCAGGTCCAGGGAAACCACGATGGCCTTGGGCTGGCGCTCGAGCAGGACCTTCAGGCGCGCCTGGTGCTTCTCCTGGGTCAGGTAGACGAAGGGGCCAACCGGCTCGTACACCACGACGCACTCGCTGGCCTTATCAAGGACGTTCCCTCAAATAGCACTAGCTGGCTACTCCTCGAAGTACCCTTCCGCCAGCGACCCCAGGATCGCCGCCGCGGGTGACGGCCTCAGCAACAGCCGAGAATCGTGGTGGTCCACCTCGACAGTGCAAGTTGCCGTCATGCTCGGATGCTGATCGCTCTGCTCGCTGCGCATGACCTGCTTCTCACCCACCATGCTCGAGGTCATGCCCGGATGCTCGTCACCCCCCTCGGTGACGACGACCTGCCTCACCTGGTTCTCCTCGTCGGCCCCCGAGTAGAGCGACAAACGGGACTCGGCGAGCGCCGTCTGGGAGGCGTCGCGAAGCAAGGCGAAGACCATGCCCAGAATCAGGCCGTAGACAGGGTCCGTGAAGACGCAGATCAGGCAGGTGAACACCAGGAGGCCGAGCCCGCCCTTGTCCGTCTTCCAGAGATTGACCATGCAGCGGACCGGGGCCATGCGGACGGAGGCGAAGATGAGAAGCGCGGCCACCGAGCACTGCGGCAGGTACGAGAAGACGGGCATGGCAACCACGGACGCACAGCACACACCGCGAAGCTCTGATGACCTTGCGACATCTGGGGGTGCACCCCACGAGAAGTTCAGGGCCTAGTCCTCACAAACCGCCTGGAGCATGGCGCCGACCGCCGACTATAACCGCAGACCGCGTGACAGATCAAGATACCAGCGTCACTCGCGGCTGCAATCGAACCCCAGCCCTCTTCTGCTCCGGCCTCGGCGATCTTGGCCGAGATCAGCGTCTCGAGCCGGCCAACGAAGGCGAATGCCGACGGCCGCAGTGAAGATTGCCAAAGTAGATGCCCTGCGCGTAAAAACTCCAGGCGCTCTGGGGACGACGACCCTCGCCTTAAGCTCTCCGTACTTGTCCTTGAGCGTCGGGATGCGGATGCCGCCGAGGCTGTCCGAGTCGGAGAGGAAGCCGAGGAGGATCGTCAGGAGCGGGATGATCACCGTCCACGGGATCGGCTAGCCCTTGACCTTTGGGACCCACTTCACGAGAGAGAGGAGCAGCACCGCAAGGAACACGAAGGTGATGGCCGGCGCCCAGCTCAGCTCATCCAAGATCTTGAGGGACTCGATGACGTTCTCATAGAAGTTCGGGTGCTGCTAGAAGTGCCCCTGGCCCAGAGTGCCCCCAGCTTTTCGCTCAATCTTGGAGCCCCTGGGGCCCTCTGAGCCTCGTGAGGGGCGCTCTGGAGGCCGTGGGGGGCCTCCTTGGAAATCCCGGGAGCACCCTGGGCCAGGGGAACCTCTAGCAACACCCGAGAAGTGCTCATGCTTGGGGCCTACGGGATGCAAGTCGAACGCCATGTTCAGCTGGTTCAGGCCAATGATGAGAGCGACGGCCAGGGTGAAGCCCTCGAAGACGGCCGTGGGCATCAGAAGCGAGTAACGCTGCAGGTTCAGCATGTAGATGACGAGGATCATGCAGGCCGAGAGGAGGGACAGGTACGGCAAGACCCCGATGCCGTTGTACTTGATCGTGTAGGTGGTAAGCATGCCACTCAGGGCACCAGCGGGCCCGACGATGTTGCGGTCGCTGGAGCCGAACAGTCCTGCACAGATGCCTCCCCAGAAGGCGGTGGCAACACCCATTGTCGGCGCGGCGGGGTCTGCGCCAGCTACC